AAAGAAGTTCGAGGATCCTACTTTAAATATTTGGTTTGTGTTTACTTAGTATATGTGCTGCTGAAGCAAGCACTGGTTTGTGTTTACGTGGAATACAGATCAGACTACTACAATACTGACAAAGGAAAATAAGCTGTTTTCAGTTACACATAAATACCTTTAGAGGTGTGTTTCCAGAGTCTTTAACTTTAATTTCCAATTTGTTTCCACTCAAAACCAGATCACAAGCTGTCCATTAAGAAAAGGCAGAAGAACCTGGGAGTTATATAAGGACAGCTGCTACTACTCACCATGTCTATCAACACAGTTAGAAATTCACCTCCCTGGAGAAAATCATTATTTATAGAACAGCCAGCATTTCAAATGTATGGTCAGTCTATTTTGAAGTTCGTAAGCTTTTTACCTGTGACCAATAGGGAAGAATGTTACCTTTTATAATGAGGTGTTCTGTGAAGAACAATTTCTGCTTACATCATTTCATTTCAAAAGATTTCCTGGGACAATTAGATTGGCTCAGACTGAAACAGCCCAATTACTAGGAGAAACTGCCTGAGGCTTTAAGAGCCTATTGGGCTTTAAAAATCCATGATGCTATAGTATTTGCATTCCTATAAAGACAGCCAGAAAGCATACTAAACAAATGTTAAAATGTATTCTTCAATACTATCTCAAAGATATTCTATTCTTTTTATTTATTTAGTAGATATAATTAAACATTGTCAACTCTTTCAATATTCTCAAAGGGTCACTGTGCACGAACCAAAACAATTAAGACATATAGTAACATATTATGAAAAAAAAGTTAGACGAAAGCAATTTGTACATATAGCTATTTATAGATCCCATTTTAACTTTAAATTAATCAAGGCATTCATGAGAAACACAAGCATTAACAGTTGTACACAGCCTTATTTTATGTTTATGAACTTTTGTATTATACTACTCTATGAGGTCACTTTATTATCTACCATAATTGTAGCTTTTAAACTTCTGGAGGATAAGATTATGTTACTGTGTACAAATATGACTATGTTGAAGTCATAAAATTCTAAGCACATAAGTAAGCCAACAGAACATTCTTCACTATTTAGCTTTCAACTCTTTTATCAGTGGGTTTTTAACTGTGGTGTGCATCAGAAAGGTGGGATAAAGTCTCCTTTCTCATTTGTCACAACTCCTGTGAAGAGATTCTCTGATATAAACAGATGTCTATGGAGAATTCAACAGAAAGGAAGAAATAAAGTGATTTTAAAAAAATCCACTCATTCAACTATTCTTCTAAATAATAAAAAAGAAGACTAAAAGTGACAATAAAGTTGTTAATCACTAAAAATGCAAATCTGAACTACTTCTGATCTGATATAAAAAATTTGAAATAATATGGCAAGTGTTAAGATATAGTGAGTCGGGGCTGGAGATTTAGCTCAGTGGCACTGGGCCTAACTGACCAGCCCAAGGTCCTACGTTCAATTCCTGGTATAAGGAGAACGACTAATCACCTACATAGTTTAAGGAAGAGAGAGCTGATGCATTTATGAAGTCAAACAATATGCAGGAAATGTTTTATAGAGAATATTGGAAGGAAGCAAAGTTGTCAGAATTTAGTTTGTAGAGACCCATTACATAATGGTATAAATGGAGAAAAGTTGTGTTTAATAAAAGCTCTGAAATGCAATAAACAGTAGAACTCTTATAAATTATATTGGAAAAATTAACAGATACATAATATGCTTCTAGAAAAAAACATCAATTTCCTTAGCCATGAACTAAGGCAGTTCTAGAGAACTACAGAGGATTTTTTTGTAAATGCTTGCATGTTTGTGGTGTTTACATGCACATTACAGTACAGTGTATAATTCTAAGAGTAGATATACATACCTAGATCTGTCCCTACTATAAACACACCAATTTCCCTCTTCAAAACGTTAGAGATAGCTGAAGGAGATGCAATACTAAAAACTCAACAATCTAAGTAATAACAAAGAAATTCATGATTTTTTATTTTAAGGTACAGAAACCAACACAATCTATAGCATAAATAAATAATGGCTAATTTTTTTAATCATAAAAATGACAGATTTCTAACTTCCTGAATAACACCCACTTTGAGTTTTTGGATGAGCTGAAATCTGCCTAGGGCTAGAACTGTTTTTAGATACCTAGTTCTAGATTCTGGCCTACTTTTATTCTACATTTCCCACTCAGAATCAATTTATTGTTTCGTGGTTTTGGTTCCCTTCCCTTGTCCACGTTATAGCAGGCAGATCTACCATATTTGGCAATGGAGATTATGAGAATTATATAAGCATAAATGCCCCTTAGGAAGTTCCTAGATATTTTCAGGACTTTCCCAAACGTTCTCTTCCTGTTTTCTAAAGTACCACTGTGGATTTAAAGGAGTGTGTTTTATAAGAACAATAACCTTCCAAATGATATTTATTGCTATCTAAAAAACATACTTTTCAGGATATACAACGAATTCCTGAGAGTAACACAAAGTCATTAATTCCAGGTAGATGATTTTACCATTTTAACTAGAAAAGTTGTCTTTTCATTCCTGTTTGAGAAACAGACTATATCATTCATCAGCCTTTTTCACTCAATGGAGAAATATACCAAAACTAATATGGGACTCAGGGATAATATCCTCAAAATACATTTATTTTTCATTCTTATCCATTTAACAGTTTATCTAAAGGAAATTAAAAGCAGGCTCAGGATTAAGGTCTGTTGAGCCTATACACATGCTGCCCTCTAGGAGTACAGGGAGAGCTTTCTACAGAATTCCCATCCCTGGGCCAGAGATTTAGCTTAGTGGTTCCAGCACCCGCCTTGCAAGTGCAAGGTCCCAAGTTCGATCCCCGCTACCAAAAAAAAAAAAAAAA